ATTTGGTGATTACGTTTATAATAATTCAGGTAAATGGGTGTATACGATATTTTTACCTACATGTGTAATCTAATATTTATATAACTTGTGACAAGAAGTAGTAGGTGGTCTTGTTTATAAACTTAACATTTATGCTAGTTTGTTTCAGTCTACAATTGTATTTTACATCCAGACGCACTTGCATGTCTAACGGTTTATCTTCTTTTCAACCCTATGAACTTTCTACAGGTTCTGAAGCAGCATGGCGGCTTATTGTGTCTGTGGTGTATTTATCAACCTATTACTCCATCCTGAGAAAACATAGTGAGAAGATACGTCGAATTTCTTTCACCAAATCCAATACTATTTCGGTAAGAAAAACCAACATTCGGTTTTCACCGACATTCTTACTGATGACATAAAGCACATTGAGTCCAGATGATGAAATAAGTAAAATTACATCATAACAGGATGCTGGAAGATGTTACCAGTTTTGCCTGTTGTTATTATTCTTTGGGGCCACCATCTTAAATTTGATAACGATGACAAACACAAAACGCGTTTCAAATATCAGAACTGTGGGGTCACCACTTACATTTCTCCGTAATCTTGGAACTACATCACTGTAGCCGGTAAGAGAAACAGGAATTGAATTTGTAACTTTTTTTACACTTTAAGCGACTTTCCCATGATCCTATATGGACTTTTGTTACCCATTTCATTAAAGATGCATTATGTAAGATTTTAAAAAAAGGACTGGCTATTCTCGCTATTAGAGTTAACAAATAATAATGAAAAGGGGATATTTTGAAAATTTCAAATTACTTTCTTCTGAGGCCAAACGAAAAAGCTGCATTGGGCAGATTTAGCTTTTGAATAATGCATCTTTAACTGATCTTCCCACATATTCGCTTTAGACGTTATTCTGGCAGTGACATCCCAACTCAAATTATTAATCTCCATTGGTATCAATTATATTTTATCTGATTATATTATTAATCTCTATTGGAATATCAATTATATTTTAGCTGATTAAATTTATAATGTCAATTATAGTTTAGTTCGGTTTAGTTTAGTATTTTAAATGAGGGCGGTAATTCCCTATCTTGTCATATGTATGCTAAACCAACCTGAAAGTTCTATATAATTTGTAGCTATGCCAGAAGATGTTTTGTTATATTTGATCCCGTGTGTGTTAATCAAAGACTATTGCCGATCTCTAGAGGGCAAATGGCACAGTTGTTTAAATGGCAACAGTTGTATCTTTCTGCAATATACCTACTTTCTAACATTATAGTATACACTATAAAATATGGTTGTACAATTAACACAAACTGTGTTCCACGGAACATTACATTACAAATCAGATTTGGCTTAAAGAGTATTTTATTCATATACTCTAATATAAGATACGACAACCAGCTTTATCAGTTTATATAAAAACAACTCTTTAATTTGTATCAATTAATGATAGATATACGAAAATAAATATATATAATATAAACCCATAAACGTAGGTGCAATTTCGTTAATAATTTAGAATTATTTAAAATTAAACGGACATTTTTATTTATTTGCATCAAATTGGATCATCTCAAAGAAAATAGGTTTGGCCATAATTATGTTATGTTGTTTTCAGTGCAATAAATACAGAAACGTTGTTTATAAAACTGTAAAATTTGTAAATTAAACAAATTATGTTATTGTAACAACCATTGGATTGGCCCGCCACACACCTGAGAATGTTAAATTATGTTGTAGTGTCATAGCACATAGATCAGCGTGTTTATATGAATGTTACAATATTATCCTGTGGTTTAACTATGTAACTGATCTACTAGATAGTGTTACTGAAGGTTAAGACAGTTATTTTAATAGTAACTTTGACATACCGTTGTATAGGTATTCTCAGTCAGGGAGCCTTTGTTTAGTCCTATCACCTACGGATGTGATGACCCTGCAATATAATGAAAGGTTAAAGGGGTAAAAAATAAACACAAAGTTATATGGATAACAATTACTATATTTCTATTAAAGCTACGTTTCAACAATGATTCTCTTGTCGTTTTCAAGCACAATACTGATACAGATAGAAGGAATGAGATATATATACTATGTACAATCACAACATTCAATGAAAACATAATTAGGAAAACAGTGACCCTTGTTCTTATAATGAAACCATATAGATTGACAAAAGCATTTAATTGTAATGTACACTAGGTAGAAACCACTTATTAATATAAGGTTATTGCCTTGATGTATTTTAATTACCATAACAATAGATAAAAGGCGAGGCCATTTTATTAACTCTAGTAATTATAATACTAACCGTGAAACTGTATGCTAATATTTATGTGTTTATAGGTTACAGAAAAAATTAATGAATATCTTATTGTTTGTTTTTATAAATTATAAGTACTATAATAATTATGTGCTGCATATAATGTAACAATACATTAAACTAAACTGCTAAACTGAGTAAAAGATACTAAGAATTTATGTGAAAGTAAAGTCTATGTTAATTATTAATTTAGTCTGTTTTAATTAATTCATCATAGGCTCTGGGGATATATAAACCACTGTCTCTGTTAAGTTCTGGTTGATGTCTCTTTATTTGTACTCCCTCCATTAATTTTCTAGTTTTCTTTTGATTGATGTTGATATTAAGGGTATTTACAGCTGACCAGTTCACTCTGTGGCGGGGGTTGTTTTTCAGGTGTTCTGATACAGCTGATTCATTGGTGGTGCCTTTAGACTGGTGCTCTTTGAGACGGATATCTAATGGACGCTTACTTTCACCTATGTAAAATTTCTTGCAGGAGCAGGTAATCTGGTAAACACTTCCCTTTGGTTGCAGAGGTATTGTTGGTCGGCATTTACCATTTGCGCTGAGGATATCTTTTATTGTAGAACCAGTGTAGAAGCTGGTGTCTATTCCCGCTGGCTTAAGGAGCCTCCGGATTTGGTAGGATAGCTTGTTGTGGAATGGTATAGAGATGCGAATTTGTGAATCTTGTTTAGTCTTAGCTAGTTTAGGTTCATTGCTGGTAGCGGTGTTGATGACTTTCTTGACTAACTGTTCAGGATATTGGTTGAGGTTGCAGAATGTATGTTTTATATGTTCTAGTTCTTTATTGAGGAGTTCAGGATTGCAGATTTTCTTGGCTCTGTGGGTGAGGGTTGAAATGATAGCTGCTTTGACTTTGATGGGATGGTTAGATTGATAATGTATGTATTGATCGGTGTGTGTGGGCTTCCGATATACACTTGTTTGGATGGTACCGCCATTTCTATTCACAAGGACATCTAGGAAGGGGATGGTTCCACAGTTTTCTTTCTCCATCGTAAATTTGATTCTAGGGTGCTGGTTGTTTAGGTGTTGTAGAAGGCAGTTAGGGTCATCTTCTTCTTTCAGCATTACAAACGTATCGTCGACCTTTCTATAATAGCATATAGGAGTTATTGGTGAGGACTGTAGAGCTTTTTCTTCCAGGGAGGTCATATAAACTTCGGTTAGTAGTGGAGATAGGGGGCTCCCCATCGGTAGGCCATGTATCTG